CAACCCCCTAAAAAAATGCTGAACTTTTGGTTGTTGTTTTATTTATTTTATTGACCAAACAAGTGCAGGAGTGAAGACAACTGTATTAAACATGCTGTTGTCTACCCATTCCCTTCTTCCACTGCTGGTGGCATTATCCACCTTAACCTCTGGGTAGATGCTGAAGGATTATTGGAGGGTCAGGGTTAATATTCTTACCATCTTACCTTCCCCATTGGCAGTGCTCTGGCTCGGATCATTGATGCAGGCATACTGGTACTCGATCTGCGGCTGCTGCCCGTCAGTCTGCTCATAGCCCCGGGGATGATGTGTCCGTCTCCGATGGCTGCTGTGACTGGGGGACTATGAGGTGTGTTACCAGGCTGGTACTGTTGGGTGCTGGGTCAGTGTATGTGGTGAAGATCTAGTTGACATCCTGGGTAAAACTGGTGGAGAGAAGTGGTTGAGGATGATAAAATGAGACAAAACCTGCAGGGTTGCAAAAGATTCAATTTACACCGCAAATGTACAAGGAAAAATTAAAGTTCAAACTTAATTATTTTAAAAGACCCTAAGTGTTGGCATTTGATAAAATCCACCAAAATCCTTGTAAACTACCATACCTGCTCACAATTTCAACTGATTAAATTTATTTCATTGTTTTTTTTTTTCATGCAGATTAAAGGGGACCATTACATTACAGCAACAGCATACTCAGTTGTCTTGAAACAGCACTGAAACTGCGAAGGTAAAAAAATAAGTGCATTTTCAAACAGTTTAAGCCAAAAAGGTGTCTCTAATCATTCTCAAAAGAATAAATACTTGAGTCAAATGTTTGATTGTGAAATTTATTTCAGAGAGTCTTTAAAGCTATACATAAGTCCAATGAGCTCCGGAATTCAAGCATCAGGAATTTACAACATTTTCTGAGTGAACCATGGTAGTTTACCCACCTGTGCCAATGTTTAATAGCTTATCACTGTTGATGCAGTTTAAAGGGAATAAAAGTATGCTTGGAAGGTCTTAATCACTCCGTTTAAAACCGCTTGGAGTCGAAGGCGATGGTATTTATCAGCACCCAGACTCCAAGCGGTCTTAAACTTAAATACCGACCAAGCACATATTTATTCCCATTCATAAATACCTATTCGGTCAAAAAAATCCAAACCTTTTGGTAAAAAACCTGATTTTGCTCAACAAGTTCACTTCATGTTTTTTTAACACCCCTCTTTAGCTAAATAATGGAGTGTCCAGCTCGCGAGTAAGATGTTAACAACTCCTTTTTTGGAGATTGGCACATGCGTCGCACATACTGCGCGATGTCATGCAAAACGCACCTGGGGCGTTGCGTTGTGAATTAAGGACTATGAAATACTGACTCACTGGTAGCATTGCGCATGCCTACGTGAGGACCAATAAAATGGAAAGAGGCACTGGATTTCATAGGAGCCAAAATTTCAAGTGAGACTGGAAAAGAGTTGAAGACCAGCCAGCCATGTCTTTATCATCCGTTTTAAGACCGGCCACATGGCGGCTTCTCGACCAATAGGAATGGATAAACTGCCATAGGTATTTATGAATTGTGGTTTACATGTATTGTACGTGCAGTCTGATGTGCCCACTGGGATAAAATGAAGTACATGATTGTAAAATTGACCATGACATACTGTACCCGAGTAATAACTATCTGTATTGTGGTCTCTGGATTACGGAAGTGTTGCTGGTAGTGCTTCATAGCCTCGTCCCTCTTGCTGAACCTGTTGCGACAGTGGTAGCAGTGCTAGTGGGCACCCTTGAAGTATTTCTGCTCATGAATGATGCCGTGGACGATGCAGGATCTACATCACTGCAATATTTTAAGACCTGGGGAGGGATACAGTAGAGGATTGGTTTGGCAATTTTGACAAAAGCTGACAGCTATATGCACTTTGACAAAACATGAACTATGGATCTTTTTATATGGTTCTCTTGCTGTAACAGGCACAAGTAAGCTATTGACCTGAGTTAGGACTCTTGTTCAGGCAGGCCGGATGCAAAGTTTTTCCTGAGACACAGCCGGCGCTTGGGCATGGCCTGTGACAATTGAGTCTATCAAACACTGGTATCTGCTAAGAATAACCAGCCCAGGTATCTGTCAATTTCATAAAACTTCCACAAATTCCACTATCTTGTCCTGCTGTCCACTACCTTCAACTTATCTTAATTAACCCTAACCCTGCCACATGCAGCACAGTGCATCAGGTGGAAAAGTCTGGTGCACTTTGCTGCATTTCAGCAATCAACACCAGTGCATCAACAGCCAGTTCTGAAACAATGCCTCAGTTGTATCCTGCTTCGTTCGAGGACCACAGACTCCGAGGCAATTTGGCTTTGAGACTTTTGACCTGATGGATTTTGCTGCACTCGGCAGGCTTGTCACTTAGACAAGTGTTGCATGCAACTCACATGGACCTTAAAAGTCATCTTGTAGCATGACCTGTGAAGAGAAAGTGAAAAACATTGTCCTTTGGCTTAACCTAAAACATATTTCTGGGATCCAGTTACAAGTATGCGAGCGCTTGGTCTTGTTCCCAAATGCAAACTCATCCCCAAAGTTGATGCCTTTATCCACGTGCTTGACCCTGTAGTGCGCCTTGAGGAGAATCTCATCAGTGAAGAGACTGTCCTGGGAGCAGAATGGACAGTGCAGATGCGGAGCCTTCATCAAGGAGTGGCTACACTCCCTGTCTGTGCATTGTATGGGCGTCCAGTCTGCCTCAGCGCCTTTCACCCGCACTGATGGATGCGCCTACAGTTGCGAAAAAAAAACATGAGAAAAACTGTCAAGTAAACATGTATGATGTAAAAAAAAATGTGAATGTATAAAACGGCTATGCCAATAAAATCAGTAGAAAATCTCATATTCTACTCAAATCCAAATCTTCACAGCAGTTTTCAAAGTGGTAGTTCATAAAAACCAGGCATAAAACATTTAACAAAGAAACCACTCGCAGATGGGATCTCTTTTGAGACGGTGGAAGAGGTTTTACATGTAGAAGGCTTTCTTGGGGAGCCAACAGTCACCGCGGAAAGAATGTTGCAACCTGACCCTACTTCAGTGGTTGTGTAAAAAGTCTATGGAGAGTCAAAAAAAATTCAGTATTTCCTAACAAAATTGGAAATGTTTCTCAGTCCCAGATTCATGTTTTATCATTTTTCCAATGACTGACCTTCATTGAGATGATTTATGAGGGAAAAAGCAGCATCAGGTTGCAACATTCTTTCTGTCACCTCAGATGCTGAACCAACACGAGGAAGTGATGTAGAATAGTAGGGAGTACTGAGTACTACCCTAGCAGTCACTCCTAGAACTATGATGCTCCGCGTAGCGGAGCCTCATGGACAGAGAACCTCGCAAAATTGTTTGCTACTACAAAACACCAACTTAGTACAAAAACGTTCATCAAAACAGAGACATTTTCCACAGAACCGCTGCACAATTTGCCCATAAACTCCATACAATACCTCATGACATACGCACGTAAGTTGCGCCTAACAAACATCGCTGGATTCTGTCGGTTTTTAGGCCAACATGATGAAAAAATATGCCCTTTCCGCACTGTGCCAACCTGACTCTTGAAACGTGTACGCAGATTTGATCGATTGATGATTTTCGGTTCGCTCTGAGCACGCCGCAAGCAAATGATACGCGCATGCGCACAAATGCAAGTACCGTACCCCCCGCGGCGTGCTCCGAGCGAACCGAAAATCAGTGATCGGTCATTACCTTTGTGCACGTTTCTAGTGTCAGGTTGGCTCAGTGCAGAAAGGGCATATTTTTCATCATTTTGGCCTAAAAACCGACAGAATCCACCGATGTTTGTTAGGCGCAACTTACATGAGTATCCTCGACTCACCATAATTGAGGCAGATAACGCTTGCAACACGCGCGTGTTGTCCAACGCAAATTGAATGCGAGTGCGTCAAAACATATCCTGGTCATTTTTGGTGGACTGACGATATGTCATGGTCAAGAGGGATTGTGCTGCAATTAACCATTTTGTGGGGTTCTGTGTCTATGCGGCTCCGCTCACGCGGAGCATCATAGTTCTAGGAGTAACCGAATACCGTAGCAGCAGCCATTCAATATTCATTGTGAAGTGTCCGGAAACTGGACAATTTCACATTTTGCTTTCTTAAAATTACTTTTGCGACGAGGTGTCCAACTAAAGAATATTAACAATTTTCCACAATCTTTTGGGTACCTACCACATAGATAGCCATTTTCAATAACTCCTTTGTGTTGAAAAATCACACAAATTCGGGGGGGGGGGGGGATTCAAGGGGAAAAACTCAAAAACACTCCATGTTCAGCGTAAACAGCGCCCTCCAGAAAAAAAAAAGAAAACATGGGTTTAAAGGGTTTTTGAAAATTCGATTCATTCCCAGCTGCGGCTTTTTCTAATATAATTATTTGAAGATTATGAAATTTCAACACAGCTACTCAGAAAGCGTCAGTTGTCAAATAAAAATAGACAAATATATGTAGGTATAATTGGGCTTCCGTTGCGGGAGACGTATGTGTCTCGTAAAAAAAAAAGGATGCCAGTTCAATATATGAACCTGAAGCAGTTGGGAACTTCGATTGAGGCCGATTTTTGGAAAGAGTTCTTTATGTCTATGAGAAAAACTCAAAAACATTGATCTCCATGTTCAGCGTAAACAGCGCCCTCCAGAAAAAAAAAAGAAAACATGGGTTTAAAGGGTTTTTGAAAATTCGATTCATTCCCAGCTGCGGCTTTGTCTACTATAATTATTTGAAGATTATGAAATTTCCACACAGCTACTCAGAAAGCGTCAGTTGTCAAATAGAAATAGACAAAAAGGTATTATTGGGATTCCGTTACGGGAGACGTATGTGTCTCGCTAAAAAAAGAAGGATGCCAATTCAATATATGAACCTGAAGCATTTGTGATCTGCGATGGAGGCCGATGTTTCGATAGAGTTTGCATGCCCATCGAACGACACATGAGGGCAGCATTCAACAACATAAACACGTGACTGTACGGCGCTGTCAGTGGCCGAAACTGTACCTGTTGTCACCTTTGCCACTTTCTTATTACTGGTACGTCAGTATTACTAATTTTATTTAACCATTTAATAAATGGTAACATTAATTTGGTTGTTTATATTATCTATTGGTGCAATCTGCACTATTCTATTTAGTGAAACGTACTGCAAGAAGTGGCCATAGACGTACTGCGTTTATTGTATAGCGTGGCATCCATAGCCACGCACGGCGCGCTGAATCGCAAGGCACAAACCGCGCAGGAAAATCGTGGTTTCTATCCCAAAAATCCGTTCAAAATTGCAAAACGGGTGTCATTAGAACTGAGGAAAAACTGCTTTGATTGTAAAGGTGATTTTTGAGCAATAAAAAAAACACACTTTTGACTCCAATATGACCAAAACAAAACAGGGGCCCTACACTTCATGATCGCCGTAATGTTTCCCTAAATGACCTAGGCCTATCAGCCATCTGAAAGTGATATTTTGTCCTAAAAAGTCTAAATTATCAGTGACAAATGATGAATTTTTACCGAGAAAACACTTACAAATTTTCAGAGCAGTCCCATAGGGTTTGTGCACGGTGTGACAGTGTGACAAGTGATTAGTACAGGCAATATAAGGTTTGACACAGTGCATTTCTATAAGGTCCCTAAAATGACATACTAAAAGTCTTAAAAAATCGAGGTGGTGGAAATTTGCCTAATTTGCATAAATCCAAAATGGCCGCATATGTTAGGACTTTCGCATTGATTTGGTCATATTTCTCATACTAGGTGGATTTTAGAGGTACTTTAAACAACAGTTTTAGTCCTTTTACATTGATTTACTCATTATTTAAGTCCTAGGTGAATTCCAAGATCCCTATTTTTCCGAAATTTTTCAAATGCCGTATAATTTGCATAAATGCCGTATATCAATTTGCCTAATTAAAGTTAAAATAATGGATGCCATGTGTGGACATGTACCAATTGAGTGTTCCCTGATAATCCAAGTCAAATTTCGCACCACAGTGCATTGCTATAAGGTCCCTAAAAAAGTTGTTAAAAATCCAAGTGGTGGAAATATGCCTAATTTGCATAAATTCAAAAGGCCGCTAATTACATGATTTTCATATGATTTGGCGCGGCCATAATAGTTTATAGGCCGTTATGTACTTTTGCTTTTTTATGTTTAAGAAGTAATTTTTGCCATATTTGGAAAGAGTTTACCTCCCTAAGCCGGAAATGCATTGAAGACATTTTTTCCCAGCTACCGTGTGGCGGCCATCTTGGATTTCAAAATGGCCGACATTTCGGGCCTAATTTGTATCATAACTTCGGACTTGATTGTCACATGAAGTTTATTTTGATGGCAAACCCCATGTTTTTGATACCAAGGAACCTGAGTACATTATTGTTTATGGTGTACTCCAAATGGATGGCAGCCATCTTGGATATTTCAAATATATGGCCGCCATTTTCGGTTTATTTGCATAATAAATTTGGACTCGAATGGCGTACGAAGTCAATTTCGGTGGCAAACCCCATACATTTGATACCAAGTAATCTTAATGACCCATTGCTGATGATCTATCCCAGATGGATGGCAGCCATCTTCGATTTTTTTTCAAAATAGCCGCCATCTTGGATCTTATTTATAATAACATTGCACCTGAATGTCCTATGAAGTCCGTGTATTTGAATGAATTCAAGTAAATCACTGTGGACGGGGTACTTACAGTTGATGGCAGCCATCTTTGATATTTCATAATTGCCGCCATTCTGAACTATTTGCATAATACATTTGGACTTCAATGTCGTATGAAGTCACTATTGGTGGTGGCAAAGCCCATAAATTTGATACTAAGGAATCCAATCAGCACATTTAGGCATCCCAAATGGATGGCAGCCATATTGGATATTCAAAAATAGCGGCCATCTTTGATTTCATTTAAATAATAAGGTGGCACCTGAATGTCGTATGAAGTCCATTTTGGTGGCAAACTGCATGTTCTTGATACCAAGGAACCGAAGTTAATCATTGTTGATGGGGTACTCCACTGGGAGTATACCCCATCAACAATGATTTTCGTGGGTTCATTGGTATCAAAAACATGGGGTTTGCCACCAAACTGAACTTCATATGACAATCAGGTCCGAAGTTAGATACAAATTAGGCCCGAAATGGCGGCCATTTTGAATTCCAAGATGACTGCCACATGGTAGATAGAAAAAAATGTTACCAATGGATTTCCAGCTTTAAAAAGGTAAAGTCTATCCAAATAATTATGAGAAAAATTCCTTCTTTAGCAAAGAAAAATGCAGTGGCCAAAAATATGACATAATATGCTATCTAGTAATAACTCTCGTCCTAAGTTGCTTTAAACAACATTTTGTCATTTGACATTGGGGCCATTCAGTGTCAAATCACCCCCCAAAACTTTTAAATTTGAATCCCCAACCTCTTCAAATTGGATCATATTTAGTTTATGGGGTAATTTCGGCTGAAAAGCCGAAATTTTAAGTTTTAGCACAATCGGACAAACAGTTTTCGCGCTACCGCCCAGGCAATTTTGGTCAAAATAGACATTGCTGCCATTTTAAAATGACCATATTTCTATAATCATTGAGCCAAATTTGTTAACCTTAATTTCTTTTGAAAGGTTACATCATGAGAAATCCAAATTTACCATTGTTTTTTTCATGTCTGGGTTATTTTAAGTATAATGACATTTTGACCTTTAATTTGACCTTGAATTTGACCTTGTGGATCACCCGACATTGAGACAAACTTGGATGAAAATTAAACCCCAAGATGTTCGCTACAAAATATCAAAACATTGGGAAAGATATTTTTTGTTCGGTTTTTGGCTCATCTCAAAGTTGGCATACGCGTTGCAAAATGTGATATCCCTATGCAGTGTACTAGTGGATTTAAAGTACGGATTTTTTTTGTCCCTGAAATGTGTTAAAACTATTCCTTTTATTTTCTGAGTTAATTCATCAATCATTTTTTTACGGCCGTAAAGTGTTATGTAACTTCGGAGGTGGTTGCTAGGTGAATTATGCAAATCGTAATTCCTTTTCCCTTTGTTGCATACCAATTCCCGGCTTGCACCCATGCGGGAGGGGTATAAAACCATCGCCCACGTATTTTCGGATTGAGGTTTGCGGTTTTTTGGTTTATTTCTTTCCCGTATATATAATATGATTTTTTGTGATTTGTAACTCCTGTTTTGAATCCTCTGTTCTCTTGAGTTATTCCTTGATTTTTGGTCCGAGTAGAGCGGCGCAAGGGTTCGCTCTGCGACACAGGGATATCACATTTTCCAACACTTATACCAACTTTGACAAGAGCTAGAAACCTTAACAAAAAATATTATACCCCATAGGAAACATAGGATCTCATAAGGTACCTCGGACTGGAATGATGATGAAATCAATGTCGAAGGAAAAATTGTTGTTCAAAGTACTCCAAAAAGCAATGCAGGACAAGAGTTATGGCCAAATCAAAATTCATGTAATTAGTGGCCATTTTGAATTTATGCAAATTAGGCATATTTCCACCACTTGGATTTCTTTCCTTTTTTAAGGAACCTTATAGCAATGCACCATGGTGTGAAATTAATTTATGTACATGACTGGACTAGGATTATCAGGGAAAATTTTATTGTGACATGTCCACACATGACAGCCATAATATAAACTTTAATCTATGCAAATTAATAAATGGCATTTATGCAAATTATTATCGGCATATCGCAAATTTGGGAAACATAGGGATATTGAAACTTACCAAGGTCTAGAATAATGAGTAAATTCGCCTGATGATCGCCACGCAGTGTGCGTGTGCGTGAAACCAATGGTAGCAGAATAGACTGAACCTATATGTTATATATAGATTCATATATATATCATATTGCAGATAATATATATATATTACAGCATAATAAATGAATATAAATCATCTACAGATCTTTTCTGAAGTCAATGGGCATCTCAATAATAAATTAAGATCAATTCTCTGTGTTTAGTATTAAATATATTGTTGCAGCATCACTAAATATTCCATTATAAAGTAGCAAAAAATAGTGGTACTGGGTGTGGTTAAGAAACACATTAGAAAACTACTTTCCACCACTCGGATTTCTTAAGACTTTTAATATGTTATAGAGGAGATTTTTCTGAGTAATAACCTTTTTAAATGGTTTCTGTTGCAATTTGTTTGAGGTTACCCCTTAATTTTTCACATAATGCCTGTACTAGATGGCCGATATGGGAATCTTTCCCAATTAACATCAAAGCAAAGATTCCCATATGTGGCCATCACTTGCCACCCTGTGCACAAACCCTATGAGACTGGTCTGAAAATGTTTAAGTGTTTTTCTCAGTTAATACTTCAATATTTTCCTAGCTCTACTGAAAGGAACGCTGGAACTTCGGTACGCATTTTTCGTACAAATTATTCACATTGCCAGGTTCATGGGCCGGTACGTATGGTAAACCTAGCCAACTGTGCAAACTGCAAAGTGACACGGTTCCTGTGCCGTGCTGATCGGCCAATGTGGCCGTCCGTACCCGGTGACATTGTTGCAGTTTGCCATTTTTTAACGGCATTAGAGAATTACTTGCAAATATTACCGAACTGAATTTTTACACTCTAAATATATTTCCGTACCAAACTGTGTATTTCTTGCTATTTTATTTTTGATTTTACGGATGATCCTGCGGTTTTCTGATGAACCATTGCGCTGCCCGAGAAACGATTGCTTGTCTGCAGTCCATCATGAATCAATGATGATGTCAATTCAAAAAGTCGTAGTCAGTGATTTCGAAAGTTTACCTCTGGCAAAAAAAAAAATACCTTTAGGTTTCTTTAAGATAATGTAAACTTTTAGAATTGATCAAATTAGGTTTTGCCCTTCACCGACGTATAAACACTGTATACTCAGTCTGTTACCTCCCGAGTGAAAGTTGGGAAAAATCACTCCGGTGGGACTCGAACCCACGATGTCCAGTGCTTTCTAGTGCAGATGTCTTACCACTCGACCACCGAGCTAACGGGATCTGTTGGCCGGTTCGATTTGAACTTTAGCAGCGGGTACCGCATTAACTATTTATTGCCAAATCACCCAGTATTGCTGTTCCAATGTGCAAGGAAACAGGTCATCTCGTACCTTGGGCAACTCGTACCTTGGACAACTCATACATTTAATGTGACATCATTATGCCAACTCGTACCTTGGACAACTCGTGCCTTCAATAAAGACGTCTCGTTCCATTACGTGTAAAGTCAAGTCGTACTGAATCAATTAAAAGTACAGACTGATCTTGTAATATGTGTTTTAATTTTGGTTATTAGACTTCGCAAGAAAACGAATGCAGGAATTACTTTGACAGTCACCATATGTGAAGATGAAATGGTTACTCTCTCCTATTCATCTCAACATTTATTTCCATATTTCAAAGAACATTCAGGTAACTGTACAAAAAGGTCAAGAAACGAATGTTTGTTAAAAAAAATGAGATTTATGATTATGTAAAGACACAACTGAAAAAAAGTAAATTTAGACAAAGTAAATCTTTAAATTTGCTTTCTCTTATTTTGTCTCTGTTTAATTCTTTGCTAAAGCTCGTTCTGGATGAGAACATCATAAGCTTTGAACTTGCTACCTTGGTACTGGTGCATGCAGAATGCGCATCGGGCACTGAAGCATTATAAAAAAAAGTTTCCAAATATTCTTGAAGTAATAACTAACACTTCTTGGCAGCAATAATCCTTCTGTTTACAAAAAAGGCCCCCCCCCCAAAAAAAAAATGTACTTAAAGAAAACAAAATAAAAGTTTCCAAATATTCTTTAAAGGTACATGTACAGTCCATCATTTGCATGGACTGTACTTTGTTCGTTTGAAGCAACAATCGTGCTCAGAATCTAAAGAAGGGTACTGAACAACTAACGTGATGAAGTTTCAGCTCAGCTTCAGCTGTACATTTCAAGTAAACATTCTAGGATCTCGATTTCAAATCAAAAGATGCTGAATCTTGTTTTGAATTTGGCCTGAATTCAGTGTTGGAGACATGTTCTCACTGAGCTAATTGCATCCATGCAATGTCACGCACTGATCTGACGAATTAAAGCAAGCACGTGTGCGCCGTGTCAACGCTTGCGCGCACTTCACCAACTAAAAAAAGGAACTACTAACGGAAATTTCCAACCATGTGCCTTTAGACGCATCGTTGGAAAGGCCTTCTTTCATTGATTTCTTCAAAATGACAGCTTGCCAGAAAGAATAATTTCACAGGGAATTTAGTCCCCTTACTATCTTTCAACCAAGTAGTTATTCAACACTAAATATCGTTTTGGAAAGCTGCAAATGATGGACTGTAACTTTAAATGATCACTTAAACTTCTTGGCAGCAATAACAAAATATTGAGTGCATATGTACATGTATATAGCCACGTTCATGGGTCTATATTAAACCATATCTTATTTTTCTTCTGAAAACAACATTAGAATGTATACGTGTCATCAATAGCAGCCCCAATGCAGTATACAAGGTAGAAAAGCCACCAAAATCATAATTTTTGTCATATGTTAGTATAAAGCATGAATAATGAAATGTCTCTCCTGAAGAGAGTCAGAGCATACTGACCAGAACGTCGAGTTGATACCTCTGGTGCTTTTCAGAACCATTCTCAATAGTTGAGAAATTATTCTCCCATGGTGTTTCCGCAAACCTTTCATTATTTAGTACATGTATCTCCACCTTGCAAGGCCTCAACTCATACTTATAAAGCATAGTTCTGTTTCAAGTCGACCAAATGCTTCATAAATGATTGCTGCATGGTGTGAAGTACATGTAAGTTTAATTTCATCTGGGTTTGGATAATACGGGAAAAGGTAAAGTTTAGTATTTGCCAAATTTCACGGCCTCCGCCATTTTCCAACTGCTGGACAAAAACTAGATGTGCCTCCAGCTCTACATATCAAATTCGTGATGAGCATTTGAGCTGGAGTTTCTCATCTCCATCTTGTATTGCAAGTTTTCAATACCTTAATATTTGGCACTCTCATAGACAGTATTGAGAGTCCCAAATGTTTGGACTAGAGTTTCTTAAGCTAGAGCTGGGAGAACAACTATTGGAAAGAGTTCCACACCTGGACATCACTTGACACCCGGTGCACAAACCCTAAGAGACTGGTCTGAAAAATTTGAAGTGTTTTCTTCGTAAACGTTTCAATATTTTCCCTGCTAAATTTGACTTTTAAACATGTTATCCATTTCTGATGGCTGATACATGTAGGTCACTGTGGGGAAATATTAGTGATGTGCATGCAGCATGTAATATGTATGGAATTCTTCCCCAACTATTTTTTCCCTAGCAGTCAGAAAATGACGGAGGCCATGAAAAATTGCCTGAAATTGTCCTTTTCCCCGATTATCCAAACCTAGTTGAGATTAAACTCACCTAAATACCATGCAGCAGTCATCACAAAGCACAGGATCGACTTGAAACAGAACTACACTGGCTAAAATATGGGGAAACAATGATGATTTTGGTGGCTTTTCAGATAGAACCGTCGCGTTGCAGCCGTGTTATGGCGACATTTACAGCTCGCATCTCATACTGGTATGGTATCCACATATACATCGCACTGCATAGAGACATGTACACGATATGGTTACCATACTATTTTCAGGTGCACGTTGTGATTTCAAATTTCGACCCCTCCCCCTAGATATCCCACTGGTCATGGCTTGCAATAGTATACAACTGCTTTATGTCAGTTTCTTTATATTTCCAGTGTGTTTTTGGTCCAACGTAATAACACCAAAATGGATGAGAAGCAGGGACCAACTTCTGATGATGTCCCAACTGGGGAGGTAACGTCAACCACAGTTACAGAGGGTGATGTTGTCAAGATGCCAACAGATGTGGCCATCACTATGGATGCTATTCCCAATGAAGATGAGGAGGACAAATCCAAAGGTGACTTGTTATTCTTTTACTTGGTGAAGACGTTTGCTCCTTTGCCAGGTCAGCTACAAAAGTGTAATCCCATTCATGTGATTTTGTCCATTCTTGCTTATTGGAAACTTAATACTTTAACCCAGTGAAATTAATTTTGCTGCAAGATAGTTTTGTTGCTTTCCAGGTAATTTTTATAAATTGGGGGAATGAGGGTTCAATTTCATAAAAAAATTGCACCTTTACTTGGTACCCATACTTGGTGGTTATCCTGAATACTCCACGTGGAAGTCTAGCAAGGAGGCCTTGGGGAAGTGGAACTAAATTAAATCCTTAAAGGTGTTGTGGTTTGGGGCGTCTGTGGTGTCTTGAGGGAGCTTGTTCCATTTCCGGATAGTTCTGGGTAGGAATGACTGCATATAGATGTCTGTCCTTGCTGCAATTTCTGTTAACTGGTGGTTGTAAATTCTACGAGCCGGTGCTGGTTTGGGGACTATGGATGATGAGTTAATGTGAACTATGTTGTGTATTATTTTAGTAGGTAAGTAGGTAAGTTGGTTAACTTTCCTTCTCTCTTCCAGTGAAGACCAGCCTAGGGTTGTCAACATGTCGGTCACACTGCTCAGTCTGGAATAATCTCGCATTACGAAACGAGCAGCCCTCATCAGTTGCACTTTTTCCAGGGATGTTATGTTCTTAGCTACATGTATGTGAGGGTTCCAAGCAATGCTGCCATATTCTAGGTGTGGTCTGACTACTGCTAAGTACAGCTTTCCTTTGACTGATCTGGATGCAGAATGAAAATTTATTTTGATGAAGCTCAATATACGACTTGCTTTGGAAGTGGCATGTGCTGTTTAGTGATTCCAACTTAGGTTATTCTGAATGATTATTCCCAAATATGTGATGTTGGTTTTCTCTACGAGGTTGGATCCTAACATGGTGTAGTTAGTTTTGCCGGGGGCCCGCTTCCCGGAGATTCGCATGATGTTACATTTGCTGGAGTTAAATTTCATTCCCAGGTTTGCGCCCAGTGAGCCAAGTTGTCCAGGTCTTTTTGGAACATCAGTTAATCAGTTGATGAGCAGATCTTCCGATATAACAGTCAGTCGTCAGCGAAAAGGCGAGTTGTGCCAGTCACTGATTTGCTAATGTCATCGATGAAAAGTAAAAATCGATGGGGGCCAAGCACGGTGCCTTGTGGTACGCCACTGTCGACACTTTGCCATTTCAAAGATCTTCCATTTACCACAACTCATTGTGACCTGTTGTTTAAGAATTCCCTGATCCATCTCTGTGTTTTTCCCCTTATCCCGTAGTAGTCTAATGTTTGGACCAGTTTTTGATGAGAAACGATGTCGAATGCTTTGGAGAAGTCAAGTTCTGCCATGTCTGTGGTGATTTGATTGTTGTAATTGTGGGAGATTTCATCCAGAGTTGATACGAGTTGGGATTCGCAGGACAGGCCTTTCGTTCAGGATGTCGTGTTCCTGGAGGTGTTTAACTTATTGGCTATCAATGATGTGCTCTAATAACTTAAAGCAAACAGAGGTCAACGACACAGGTCTGTAGTTTGCCGGGTCTGCACGAGAGCCTTTCTTAAAAATGGGTGTTACGTTGGCTTCCTTCTAGTCAGATGGTAGAGAACCCAGGTCAAGTGATTGTTGGAATATGAATGCGAGTACTGGGGCAACTTCATTGGCAGCTAGTTTCAAGTTGAGCGATGTCAGTAACTTGAGGACTCCGCTAACAGACACGGTGATGTTTGTCAAGTCTGAGTAGGGACTCGGTGGTAGAACTGGCTGCACATCGGTGTCATCCCTGCTGAAAACACTACAGAATTGGTCTTGTAGGGTTTCAGCTTTTTCTTGGTCAGATTTGATATTTTTCCCATTGAGTTTTATAACCTGAACCCCTGTGTTGTCTTTACGAGTGCTGTTTATGTAGCGCCAACATTTCTGGGGGTTACCTGTAGATGTAGTTTCTTTTAAATGTGTGCGTTTAGCCCTTCGGATTTCGCTGTTCACTTGCTTTTGGGTCATTCCACCGGGTTGGGAAGCAGTGCATGTTACATCTATATATTTGGTTATATTATTAACAGTATCAATGCATTCTAAACAATTGCTCAATTTAATATTTGTCTTAAGTTGTTTCAATACTTGAGAAAGTTTGAAATGATTTGAAAGTACTTTGACAAAAATATGAGCAAAAATGTATTAATTCGGATGTAACATTGACACCGTGTCAATGTTGTATCCAAATATTCTTTTTTTGCCATTTTTTACACGTATGTAAAATATTACCCAAACTGACATTGCATATTTACAACTGGACACCTAAGCACCAAGAAAAGCTTTTGTTTTGGTATAGTCAGGGTTCAAATATAGCAGAAACAATACTTCTAGTGTGGATGTAACGGTGTAAAAATCACTCAATGGAAGTGTGACGTTGGGTTTTACACCGTGTCAATGTTACATCCACACAACTAAGCTATCATTTCTGCTCCATTTGATACCTGACTACCGTAACAAAAGCTTTTTTTATTGTGTTGCATGTATAGTAAGAAGTAAGCAAAGTGAATTTCTGTGATGTTTTGCAGAAATTTTTAAAAAAGTAACAAATGTCACATTTGGACGTTACACTGACACGGTGTCATTGTTACATCCAAAATGACATTTTTTGCTTATATTTTTGGCAAAATACATTGAAATCATTTCAAACTTTCTGCGGTCGTGAAACACCCAACAACAAATATTATGTAGAGCAACTGCTAGCAAAGCATTTATGCTTTTGTTAATATGGTCATATGTCACATATGGTTCCCCAACCCGGTGGAATGACCCTTTTGCAAAAGTTTGAATGTAGACCGCTTGTTACTGCCTTCACATAGCTGCGCTCTTTCTTCCTGCAGCAACGGATTAGGACAGTAGTGAGCCATGAGGGTCTAGAATGTCCCTGGACTGGTTTTTGTGGTGCATTGTACTAATTCGTTAGTTTTCAGCCTGTCCCTAAAAATACTCCAATTTGCCTCAACTGTTCTGGTTTCAGGAGATGACTGCATGAATTCGGTCTTAAGCTCTAGCCAGATTTATTCAGCTTGGATTCATCCACATCATTCCACTTGAAGATTGTCCTAGGGGGCTTGACAGAGCGAGGTGCGGTGATGTTTATGTCAGCTAACACTGTTGCGTGATCGCTAATTCCGGAGTTGCTGTAAACATTACAAACCAGAGTTTTACGTGTGGTGAAGAGCAAATCTAAGATGTTATATGTTCCTGTAACTGGGTCTCTCCTTGTAGTAAAATTTGCCTTTTGTTGGAGATTGTAGTCATCTGCGATGTTGATCATTTTGGATTGAATACCGTTTGCCGAGAAAGTACATGTACCAGTCCTTGAGTTCCAAAGCATGCCCGGGATGTTGAAGTCTCCTGAAAGAATGATGAATGGGGAGTTTACCTGAGCCTGCAATTTACTCAGACTTCTGTCTAGGTTTTCTAGAGATTCTGGCCTGTAGGAGTCGGGGGCTCTATAATATGCAGATGAAGATGTCCTCTCCTTTCGGCTTGAGCGGTAGTTGGCACCAGAGTAATTCACAACCATCTTCAGAAAGTTCAATGGCTGAGAAACCATCCTTAACCAAGATAAAGACACCTCCGCCACATCTGTCGTTTCCTCTGTCCTTGAACCTTTGTTCAACTGTCAAACTTGTGAATTTCTGATGAATGAATGCAAAGTTTACAAAGCCATTCATATCTTAAAACATTCATTCTTTTATAAAGCCTTGTCCGCACTGGACTTTCTTTGGTCAAACTTACCGAGACTATGGGTACTTTTCCCATTTTAAGTCCAGTGCGGACAGCGTGGGACATTTTCCTCTCAGTTACTTTTCCTGAGTCCAGCGGTTACTTTTACTGGCCAACTGCTGCCCAGGAAAACTGACCACGCACCCAGGAAAATTGACCAGGTCACTTTTCCCGAGACGATAAGTCCAGTGCGGACAGTGCGAGTCGGTAAAAGCGGCTCAGGAAAGTGAGATCCGGCCCGAGCGCGAGTATCATGCATACAGAGACCGCACTATCCCACACGTGATGTGGCCAAACATTTTGTGGAAACACGTACCGGTACGCTGCGGTGTGTCAAGTCCGAGCGGTAAAATCTCGTTATAAATATATTTTAACGGAGAATACATTCACAGAAAATATCAAGATCACATTCTGGGAAATACTTTGCAGTTATTCTTTTTCTCCACCAATGTTTGTTTTGTATTTTCTACGATCTAAATTCGTCCTGTTACGCCGTGTAGTCTGCATGGCACCGTACGTAGGCCGCAGTCCCTGGTTCCAGTCCTACATCATAGCTTTGATTCTGTTAGCAGGCGGTGGGAACCAGCGATTACCAATGGAACTGCTGCCGCATGGCTTCGATGTCGTCCATCACAAATGCGTCAGAAGAGTAGGCATTTTCGTCAAGATTTATCGTGTCAAGATGAAATAACATCGTATGTAACGATTATATTGTGCATTTTAATGGTGTGTTTGATATTATACTGTGCGTATCGGGGGCTGAAAAAAATGTGATCGGAATTTATTTCCTGTGCACGTGACTGTGACAGCTCGGTCACTTCTCCCACGCGGTCTGGGTAAAATTTGCTGTGTCGAAAGTCCAAGTGCGGACAGTGGTCACATTTGACCATTTCTCATTTGACCATCGTCTCGGTAAAACCTTCCAAAAAAAAAGTCCAGTGCGGACACGGCTTAAGATGGAATTTTGTGTCGGGGTGATGTAAATCAAATTTGGTTTTGCCCTTCACCGACTATCCATCTTATGAATAGTTAATGCAGTACCCGCTGCTATGTACATCAGATTTGAACCAACCAGCTTGGTGGTCGAGTGGTAAGATGTCTGGACTAGAAAGCAGGAGGTTGTGGGTTTGAGTCCCACCTGAGTGATTTTTTTCCAACTTATACTCGGGAGGTACCACACTGAGTATACAGTGTTTATACATCGGTGAAGGGCAAAACCTAATTTGATTCATTCTTTTGTTGATTAATACAAAGCCCATTAAAAAAGGCAAATAAAAATATCAAAATATTATGAGGCATCAATAGAGTATCAAGTATCAGAAAAGCATACTAGTTCAAATACCAGAATGGTGATAGTACATACATGTAGCATTATTTGTGCTTGGCAGTTTTGAATTACGCACACAAAAACAGCAGCTTGTAGAAATTGGTCATTTTTGGGAACCGTCCAAATTCAGATATTTATATATAGGTTTATCTCTAACTTTACAAAGAGGTTCATATTTTAAAGCATTAATTTTTTGTCAGGTACTGTGTACAATTGCTGTACATCTATATATTAACAGTATTCAACTTTGGGATGGTTTTTATTCAAAATTTGCAATTCATTGATCTGTTTGTCAGTGTGAACTGATTTTGTTGTGCAGTGTCTCACTTGAAAACTCATAATTAAACTTACAAATATCTCATGCTTAAAAAGAATCAAAGTAAATTTATTTTCTCTGATTGGAGTTGGTTTTTTAATTTGTTCGTTTTTGTCTATCAGGTCTTGACCCACAAGATAACCATTCCACCAGCACCTCTGACGTACCGGTGACTGGCGCTGCCATAACGGATCCTTATCACTATCGGACACAACAGCACTTCACCTCAGAGATCTTCAAGATTGAGATCCAAAACCTCCCAAGACATTTTGGATTTGTGGTGAGTTTGCTCTCTAAGCATTCAACTCTCGATAATGATAATACAGTTTGTGCTCTATTAGGAGTTCATGATGTTCTCCATGGTGAAGATTTCTCAGGGTCTTTTTGTAATTTTGTATAACAGAATTTAAAGGCAATTGGATGAATTTCACTAAAACCTGGAAATATCCTAGCCTCATGTCTATATGAAAGTAATGGTAAACTGCATGTAGAAAGTTTTGATGGTGGGTGATATTGGTTGGTCATGAGTGAGAGCTCCCTCTTGCGGGGGTTATCGCTGCGGGGGTTATCGCTGCGGGGGTTATCGCGTATCAAACCATAATAACGTCTAGCCCCTAGACTAGGTATGTGGGGCTGTCTGATGAGATAGGCATTGGTGTCTCTGGTTATCACTTATTGCACCATTGGTAAAAACCTAGCCTATTCTATGGCCACACACTGGAGTAATCTCTGTGCTAAGGGCCATACAAATGTGAGCACAGCAAGTTGGTAAAATGATGCATTTTTTTCATGGAAATATTTTGGCCTGATATTTGGCATAGGGGTTCTTTTTACCCAAGCGTCCCACTTTGTGCTGAAACCTCATATGGTTCAATACTTTGAGGTGTGCACTGGAACGTAAATTGTCAAACAATTGGCCATGCACAGCGGCCAATTCAAGATCAACACACAGTCTGGCCTGTATGACTTCACAGACTTTTGTGTGTGTGCAAAAGCAGAATGTTACCTGGAGGTGAGTGGAGGCAATTTTGACCTTTTAACCCTAGAAAATCCATCAGCCCTGCCTGTGCATAAAAACAGCCAGTGCGTCTTATCACGTCCTCTGATGCAAACTGGTTAAGATGTTACTTTTTATTGTCAAAAGAAGTCAATTTGGTATCTTTATTTTTTGTTGGTATTCAGGGAGACATCAGTACCCAGCTCAACAGCTCCACCAGTGATCTTCCTGACCTCACCAGACAGTTTTTTGTGTGGTCTGTTTCAAGTCGATCATTAGGCTCTGTGAATGACTGCTGAATCTACGAGGTATGTAAATGAAATCCGAGGTGGGATATTAGAGGTGAAAATGAACAATTTTTGAGAGGCCATTTTTTTAGGGTCTCTTGCTACCACACTCCAGCGTTACATGTGAATGAATATTATGAGCATGTCAGCTGGAGTTACTCCAGCTAAGTTCTAGGGGTAATTGGCAATGACATAGTCCCATGATGTAACTTAGCTTGAGTAACTTCAGCTCTAATGCCTATCGCATTAGAGCTGGAGTCGAATGTCGGGCAAGTCGACCGTTGAGACAACTCGACTCTGGACAAGTCGACCGTTGAGACAACTCGACCGTTGAGACAAGTCGCCCGGTTTGACAACGTTGGGCCAGCGCGCCCCGCCTGCGAGAACCGCGCCCAGCCCGGCACGCGGGCACGTCGACCGGCGCGGCAAGTGGGCTTACAGGCCCGGCAAAAACAATGCCACCGTGCACGGCGCGGCCACGTTGACCAGGGATAAGTGGGCGCACAGGCCCGGCAAAAACGATGTCACCGTGCACGGTACGGCCACGTTGACCGGGGATAAGTGCACACACAGGCCCGGCAAAAACGATGTCACCGTGCACGGTACAGCCACGTTGACCAGGGATAAGTGGGCGCACAGGCCCGGCAAAAACGATGTCACCGTGCACGGCGCGGCCACATTGACCAGGAATAAGTGCGCGCACAGGCCCGGCAAAAACGATGTCACTGTGCACGGTACGGCCACGTTGACCGGGGATGCGCGTGGCCCGGAAAAACGGACGATGTGCACGGACAATCACGCTGCGCTATATCGGCTCTTTTTTTTTGAGATACAACAAAAAAACTCATGTGTCATAACTCCCAAACGGCGATCAGCCGCCATCAAAATTTCCGGTACAATCCCCAAAACTAGGCCCAAAAACAAGTGAGTCGACTTGACTCAACGGTCGACTTGTCTCAACAGTCGATTTGTCTTTCCATTTATCACACATATGGTCGAGTTGTCTCAATGGTCAAGTTGTCTCAACGGTCGACTTGTCCCGAGTCGAGTTGTCTCAACGGTCGACTTGTCAGACCCCCCTGGAGTCACAACTACGTTAAAAGTACCGGGTCGTAAGAGTCCCGAAATCCCGTACTCTGTATCCCCAGTGCATTACAAAATTCAAGATTCCATAATTCATACCTCGTATTTTTCCAACGCTGGTCGGCCGACCAGCGTTGGAGAAAACTGGCTTTTTTCAAAAACTGCTTGCAAACTCTTTGCTGCAAAAACTGCAAAAACTATTTGCAATTGATTACACACCTGTGAAGGGGTACAAGCCTGCTAGACTGATTCTCTGAACTTACAATTCCCCCAAAGTCTATAAATTCTCCGTTTCATCTGAAGTGGGGTCAGGGAACCAGACTACAAGAAAATGAATGATCTTCTTGGTTTTTCAAGCCCAAAACATGAAACAAGTCATTTTAACAATATTTGCCATAACATACTAATCCTCCAAATCCATTTGTTTCTGAAAATTAAAGCAAAAGCAAATGTTGTACATTCCCTTTAAGTCAAACAAAGAATCCATTCCCCTCTGTAGTATAGCAATGATGTACAACCCTGCCTAACTCAAAACTCTGCTTAAGTCGAATTTTGAACCTGTTCCCTTGAAGTTTGACATATTGAGATTTTACTGTATTTCAATTCTTTTTTTTCCCTGCAGAAATCTGATTTGGATGTTCTCATTGAAGACGGATACTGTGAGCTGGAAATTGTCAAGGCTCTAAGGGTAAGGAGCTTATCCGTTGTCTGTTTACTTGTAGCAGGCCAGTGAGGATGCAGAACGTGGATTGACCTATTGCAGTAGAATTGTGTCAATGCAGCTTGCAATATATTGTCCAATTACAGATTTACGAATGGACACGGAACTCGCAAAATCTGAGACAAACAAAACATAGTGTACAAATATTCCACGGGGTTGTCTAAAGGGGCGTGGCTAACTCGCAAACGGTGACAGGTCAGTTGGGATGAGGTTGTTGAATTTTGCCAGCAAGAGAGAGACATTGCTGATGAGAGTTTTTTTCCCCGTTTTAGTCTGAGCTGCGGGTGAACCAAGAGACGCTGCTGCATCATCTAGGAGAAGCCTGGTCTGCCATGACTGTCTGGACTATACCCCATGCCAAAGAACCTGTCACCCTGACCAACGTCAGCCAAGTCCAACTCAAACTAGGTAGGTCAACAAGACGTGGGACGCTATGGCATGTGGTCTGGAGTATCATATTCAAGTTCTGTAGGTTGTGGGTTCGAGTCCAACCTTGGGTAGCGGTGTCGTGCGTGTGTTCGTGCACATTACCTTTTGACACCCATTGCTTCTCCCCACCCAGAAGTAAATTTTGTTTTTTCACTTTTTTTAACCAGTTCACAGTGAAAATGCTTCGGTGACTGCCAATGCCATGAGCCAGGTTGGAATTCTGAAGAGCAAAATGTAATTTTTCGGTGAGTTTCTTAAATGTTTGTCTTCTCTTTGTGACTGTTTTTCAAAACCGAGCTTTGATAAACCAAAAATACATTGGCAGAACGAATTTGAATTTTGAATTCACATTTGAAACAGACTTTGCTCATTGTATCTTTTCAGTCCTTTGAAAACGTCAGCTGCAAATCGACTTATTTCAACAAAATTATTGTCAATTTTCCATTTTCAGGAAAGAAACTGATGGAGTATATTTTGAAGCCGGTTGTGACATTGTCAAATGTTGCGCCATCAATTAACGTAACTAAAAAGGTTATGTTATTTTCAATTAAGTCTTAAGTTACAAGTGCATTTTTTTTTTTTCATGAGAACAAGAAGACATGAATATTATACAAATTATACAAGTTTATAAGCATACAGAGTTTATAGGCACAGAAAAACAGCTGAGTGTGGGTTTCTCAGTCGGGTTTTGCCAGCAGTTACGTGGAGTGCCGTGGCCTAGTGGTTAATAAGGGCATTTGTTTCGTGGTCTGCGGGTAAAGTTGTGGGTTTGAGTCCAGCCTCAAGGGGTCATGGTGCGTGTGCCCTTGGGCAAGTCACTTTGTCACTCATTGCTTCTCTCCACCCAGGAGTAAATGGGTACCTGTGAGGGCAGAGATGGTTATTGTGATTGATTCTAGCTTCCTTGCGCCTAACAGGTTGCATCGAGCTGTATGTTGGCCAAATTAGCAGGGGTAATAATGATGTACGTGTAGCGCCTTGAGCACCAGACCTGGTGGATTAGGCGCTTTATAAATGCCACTATTATTATTATTAATATTATTGGAAAATTGTGCCAACTTAGTAAACAATGCTGCCTCCTGGCATAGATTTGCTGATGCTTCCTATTGTTGCATCACAATTTAAGCAAATGCTGTCACATAAATTGTAAGCTCTTTGCTGCACTGACTGCTTACGATCTCCCTGTAATGGACACATCCTCTGTTAGCAGAGAATAACATGTTAAGCACTTAGACAAATGCCATAGAGCTGCTATTAAGCAGAAAACATTGCTTACTAAGTTTTTAGTACTAGATTTTTTCTACAACCTGCAGAATTACCCGCAGACCACAAATTCAATGCTCCAGACCGCGAGGCCACAGCACTCCTCAGCAAAACCTTTTTTTGTGCATTTAGTGAATGAATGTGCTAACATCTTCTTTGCAGTCGCAGTCAACCACCGTTGGATTCAAGGTGCTACCCAAGAGCTCTGAGGATCCATCCGATCCCGTAGCTGTATACAAGGGCACACTGGCAATACTGAAAGCACTGAGTGGGCCGTTACTTAGCCTCAAGACAGAGGGTAAAAACAGAGATGAGAACACTACGCTGATGGCTATGCTAGGTAGAGACCATTTCATTGTTTTGTTTTTTTCCCCCACTTTTTGTCTTTCTTTTCCCCATTTTGT